GCTAAGGAAGCCCTATCAATATGTTCTTTTAAAAATATTGTAAGGCAAAGTAACTAACCTAATATTAATTTAAATGGATTATTACAGACATATTTATATGGCCAAATCACACCAAACCACCAACTTCTTTTTAAACCATTCTAATTAATTACTATATATATTGCATGTATTTGTACTTATATTTGTCCTTTTTGTAAATAGTTTTTGTAAATTTTCAAATGTCGACGCCTCTTGTGGAAATCAACTCTATTTGTTGACAAGGCTAGCGTCTTTAAATAAATTTTTACATACATACATACATGGTCCGGGTCCCAGCCAGTGCGCTTATGAGAAGCATTCACCCACCTGGACGTCCGCCATTTTGAACATTTTCAGAGGGTGAATGCCTCTCATAAGCGCACTGGCTAAGACTATGGCGTCAGCATTGCAACGGTTACGCCAAAATCATAGGCAAAACCAAGAAGTCGACCTTCTGTGTGTCTCTATTCTGTGGTATCGTAGTATTTTATTTTGTGTCGAAGTCATTAGTTCCACTCTAGTGTTCAGGAAACAAAGAAATACGCTACGTTACGGTACGACTGACCAACATATTGGCCCAGTTTGAATGGGCCTTTTTACTATAAAGCCTGCTTTCCTGTTGAGCGTTTTTCATACGTTAAATGCCGTCTTTTTATTTATTCAGTTATTTTACTGCCAAAATTTAAATGATTTTAAACTTTTCTGTTCGTACACGCACGTATGAAAAACGCTTTACTGGAAAGCAGCCTTATAATGACATGCTGGTATCTAAATAATGAGAACACTGCCTGGTATATCTTGTAAAGTATACCTTTTCAAGTGGAGCATACAATTTCTTGGGTAACACAATGTGAGCAGGATAATCTTTGAGTAAAAAGGTCCGCGTCTACAAAAATTAAATAATAATTTAAATTAATTTTGTAAGAGAACTGCCGAATTAGAACAATAGAGTATCTGTAACAACAACGAAGACTGGAGTAAAAGTAAAAACGTAGTATACTTGTTTGTTGTCACTTAATATACGACATTTACAGTACCATGCACCTTCTTTCTTGTACTTACATACAATATCTTCTTCCGGGCATGTTAAACTACACTAACACTAACTAGATAAGATAGCTATGTCCTACCTATAGAGTAGCTATGTCCTACCTATAGAGTCCAGCTTTGCTACAGGAAGAAACCGTTTATACTATGCAGTCTCATCATATGCGACAGGTATGCAAGCAACTGTAATCTGCATATTGTAGGAGTCGAACCAATGTATGCAAGGTTACACTGCGGTATCAACCCCCTCCCCCCCAACCCAAACCACCAAAAAGTTCAGACAGTCCAAAACAGGTGCCCAAATTTATAGAGAATCCAACCGCAGATTGTAACAATGAAACGTTATGCGGTGGCTATTATACACTGTCTACGCGATATTGCATTGCAAAACACGTTCTCTACATAAATCTCAGAAACCATTTGTTAAAACGTTGAATAATTTGCCCTGTGTCTCAGAAACGATAAGGGCTGACACAGATGTCAAAACAATGAGTGGCTGGCTGGCAGGGAAAACAATGGGATTTTCAAATCAATTGGATCATTCCAAAAACAATGAAAAGATATTGGAACATTGAACACTGACCTTTGAAAAACCCAGGATTATTCCAATAACAATATCACATACAACATAAATTGCCTGCAATCAAGAAAACAAATTAAACATTTTTCAACAAGGTAGAATAAATAGTTTTCGAATAAGTAATACGGTTAATAATTAACGCACATAGCCAATGGTCACGTGGTCGTTGTAAACGACTAATCTGATTAGTTAATTTTCTTTGTCCGAACTTTGCAACAGCCAATCAAATCACTCTAGGCATTATACACGCACGTCATGCGGAAAGGTATACTTTGCAATGCAGAAAACTATTTAAGGCCGGCCTTTATTGTTAGCAATGCGTGTGATGAATCTGTATATATGTATAGGTAATGGTATGGTTTCTCTTGCAATTTGGGAAAAACATGCACGAAAACATGAGTTTTTCAAAGACGATCAAAATTGCAGGAGTCGGAAGGAAGAGTGCAATTTGAAGTTTTTGAAAAACTCACGAGTGTATGTTTTTCCAAATTGCACGAGAAACCATACTGTTACTTATTAATAATATACATGAAAAAATTATGCAGTCACATGCGTACGTATAGGTCATATGCGAAATAGTTAATAATAGAAAATCTACCAAAAACGCCAGCCATTTTTGTCACTTGTAAATGTTTGGGTTTTTTGTATTATTTTCTGCTAGAAATGGCTGCATCTTATATATAGTCAATGAAATTTGCACTTTATTTCATTTTTTGGCACAACCTCGTACCCAGGCTCTCAATCTTCGCTCCGACCTCGCTTGTATTGGGACCCTGGTATCGGCTGGTCACGTGACCCGTCATTTTTGGCGGATTTGCTCAATTGTTTTTAGGGAAAGGATTGTAACTGAGATGCTTTGTTTTGTAATGTTATTTTAACAATATTAATGTTTACTACAATATTTACTTACTATACTTTCCCTAAAACAATTGAGCAAATCCGCCAAAATATGACGGGTCACGTGACCAGCCGATACCAGGGTCTCAATTCGAGTAGCCTCGCAGTAGCTCGGAAGAGTGATTTTCAATGGCTCGATTTGACAATTGCTTTTGTATTTACAACAATGAATTGCTTCGTTCTTTAGAAACCCCCCATCCAATTGGAGACGGCCTTCCGAGGCACTGCGAGGCTTCCCCTCAATTCAAGCGAGGTAGGGGCGAAGATTGAGAACCTGAGTACGAGGTTGTTTTTGGCACTGTATTTAGCTAGTAACTTTACTCAAGGTTAAGACAGCAAACTGCACACCACATGTTTTTTTGCTCCACTGATTTCACATGATCTTTGTAGTTGGCCTAGAACTCTTAAATTCGACTCCGTTTTGAAGTTTTGAATTTGGAGTTAGCCCCTTATACTATGGCGCGTCGTTTCATGGTTCCCTAACTTCTACAGAACGTCATATAATGCATGATTGTCACACCACTTTCTTTTTACTTTTGGTTTTAAGAGTAAAATTGTCAATTTACATACGTGATTAGCACTGTCCGTTTCTTCAGCGTTTGCATCTTTTGTGTGCTTTATATTCTCTGCCAGCTTTTTCGTGAAATTATAATTATCACCTCGAGCCAAGATGCATTCCATGAAAAACCACAAGTATCTACATTCATAGACATTTAAAAAAATTAATATCTTCCTTACACTGACGCTTTTGCAGTTGATTTGCTGAGTCAGCTATTTCACTTAGAGAAAGTCCAGATCTAGGGTTAGGAACCACCCAGAGCCATAGCACGCGTAAGGTGCGGCATCGTCCCCAATATTTACCATGCATGGTTATATATATATACTATAAAAACACCAAGTATGGTACCCAATAAAGCGAAAATTTCAAACATTGTTCCCGTCAACGTCCTCGCAACGACCTGGAAGCAGGTTTGCTTTCGTTTGAGTTTAACTTATTCCACCGGTATATAGTATAGTTAAAGCAAATCAAAAACTTACTCTTTGATTTCTCTCAAGTGATTACTTTTAGTGTAATCATAACTTGGAAGATGGGATAGCATATAAATTAAGTACGGCATGGCATATTCAGGTAAGAGAGATGTGGAACGCTCTAAAAACATCAATACACACTTATTAATGTACGTCAGCGGCCAGTTGTACGAAGGGCAGATATCGCTATTGATCCTGGCGAACACTAGGGAGTAGGGAGGGGGCAACTGCTAAATATTTAGCTATATATTACATAAAGAAGTATGATTTCCAGCGACAGGATGGTCATATGGTGGCAACTTAAATCCCCCCCTAGGGTCTGAAACTTGCAGTATCCCGATATCCACGGGATATTAAAATTTGATTTTGGATACCAAACTGTGAATTGACTTATATCCCAACTGGATACTAAGAAAATTTCAAACATTAGGAAAATGTTAAGCACCTCTGACAGTCTCCTGATAGCTTTTGAATACTATGAGTTTGCCACCCAAGCCTTTCCTCATATAATTTGCATTTTTGTGGATTAATGAATTGTCTAGTTGTTGACAACTTAACTGTTGAATCTCCTGTTGTTATTGTAATTTGTAACATAATACTTATGGTAACCAGTATCCAGAAATGGGATACTGCATTCTCAGGGGGGATACTAAACTTTGAATCTTGGTATCCCAGTTGGATACTGAGAAAATATTTAAATTTCAGACCCTGCCCCCTCAATATTTCGCGAAGTGTCCGCCACTGGTGGACAACGAGGTATTTCTCGTTGCCCGCCTTCCTATCGTGCGAATATATCGCTCAAAATCCTGAACGAGAATAAAACAAAGAAGTGGAACTAACCTGGGGCAGTTTTCCTTTGTCTTAAATACTCATTCCTTATATTGATATTTCGGAGTATCATTTGCTTCGCCTACACAAATGTTAATGACGCAATTTAGAACGCAATTCCTGTTATAGAAACAATTCTTGTAATATATCGGCTCTGGCTTGCCACCACCGACTGCTGATAAAGATAAACACGAAAGTCAGGAGGAAGTTTCCGTACCTGGTACACACGTAAAAATCTCACAACTGTCAACAAGATGTGTTTGCAACAAGCTTGTAGCAAGCTTGTCAACAAGTTGTAACAATGTTGTTATGTTATCAAGTTGCTACAAGGTTGTCACTAAGAACTGGTTCACAAATTGTTGAATTGCAGGACGATAACACGTTGTTGGAACAACAAGCCGTTGACAACTTGTCAACAAGCTGGGAACAAGCATTGCGAACACATCCTGATGACAAGTTGTTGGAACAACATTGCTACAGGTTTGTTACAACTAAGTCTGTTGCAGGTTTGTTACAACTTGTGCATTTTTGCGTGTGTATTACGAAAGAGGAGGTCCTGGAAGGAACAAGGTGAAGAAAAACAGGCTTGTACGTTGTCAAACTGAATAGAAAGGTGAATTCTGAGAAGACCGAGGATACGTCGAAAATGCATGACAAAGGATTTCTGGTAGGTGGTAGTTTTGCATTCAGGTATAATATATTCTACTGTTTAAAAATGCTGGAAGTGCGACCAGGATTGAACATAATAATTTTTGAGAAGTTCTCTGGTTGGAAATATTTATTTATCACAAGCTTTCGGACTTAAATATTGCGAATCATGCTTGGTCGTATGACCATAAAATTGATTTCAACAATAGCAAGATAATTGACAAGGCAAACTACCGCCACAGAGCTACACTGGAATCGTGGCACACCGCGCTCACAGCTAATGCTGACAATAATTCTAAACATCTACCAGAACAATACCGTTTTTTATTGACGAAATAGAATAATTATTAGAGTTCATAGAGTAATACATAGGCGGAACTATCACTTCCAGTTATTTGTTTGTCACTGTAATTGTTAACCGTAGGCGTAGCGTAGGCAACACCGCGGAAAAACGTCTGCGCATGCACCAAATTATGAAAATATGGCGGGGAATTTGAATATCAATTTCTAAAACAAAACAAAAACATGCTTATTAATTGGTCAAAAATTAGTAAAACAAGCGAGAAAATATAGCAAATGGGTAGACTAGACATTAAT